AGAGAACTCTTGGACTGCATAGTCTAATGACTGAACTTCTGCTGTACTACTAATGGTGACAGTGTCTTTAAAGTGGTCCTGTTACATTGTTTCTGATGAAGGATGGCACTAAAATTTTTGGAGGAGTGTCCCGATTCAGTGTCGGGGGAGGTTTTGATAGGATCCCAAGAGCGAGGTTAAGACACAAATGAGGTCAAATGCCGTACAGCCTTGTAAGCTTTATTCTCATAAGCGCGATAGGATAGAAAAAAAGAAGGAAAAAAGAAAGAAAGATAAGCAAGCAAGCGGGAGAGAGAGATGCAGCAGGATTATAGCGACCACCACCATCAGTCCAGCGAGGTGCCGTGGGCTCTGCTTCGGTGCAGGCACCGAAGGCCTCGGTGCCGGTGATGTCCCGCACGCACCTCGGTGCAGGTGATGTTCCACACGCCTCGATGCAGGCGATGTCCCGGGTAAGAAGCTGTGCACCTCAAAAGAAACCGCACACACCTGAGAAGAAGCCACCACGCACCCCCCTGGGTGGGGGCGGAATATGGAGTCCTTTTATGTCCCTGTTCTTGCAGAGTCCACCCCCCTTCTCTGCCTGCTCTGGTGCTCCTCTTCCTCCAATGCCACTCCATAGACACTGCTGGGCCTTGTTTGGGCCTCGTGCTAATCTCACAGTCCTCCCAGAGGTAGGGTGCCAAGTTCAAGAAGCAGATAATTGTAGGGAGACGAAACACCTGGAGGTGACATCACAGTCTTCCCTGAGCCAAGGTCAAAGAGTCATTAATTGTATGGAGATAAGACGCCTCAAGCTGATAGACGGGATGCTTAGGTCAAGAAGTCCTAAATGTTATGGCAACAATGTCAAGACAAAAGACAGTTCAAAACAGTCTCTTACAGGAAGGTAGAGGTGAGGGGAGAGAGATATCTTGTCTTCTGTATTCGGAAAGGGGAAGAGAGAACGCGTGCTCCTCTGAGCAGGCAAGAAATACTAGAACACCGAAGCAGACACTCAGTGCTACAGATTACCCAAAATGGTGATGCTTTAAAACCTCAGAATTGGATGAGATTCATAAATGGGTTTGGAGAGGAAGATTAATCTGCAAATTTCAGTAATTTGTCCAAAAATACCGTTTGGATTTCTTTTCTAGAGCAGGCAAAACTTTCTGTGAGATTTCAGGAAGCTTTCATAGCAGGAATTAATGGAGCTGATTTCTGCCAGGTTGAGACTGGGATTTGTCCTTTCATTCTTTTGTGCTTGGTCATGTAACCTTTGTGAAAGCAAAACGTTAGCAAGATCACTAACTATCTGCTTGTTTTGTTCACATTTTCCTCAAATATTTGATGTGAGCAAAGACTGCTTTGCAATGACACTGTCACAGAAGTATGAATACCCAGAGTATTCACCATTACTATTACCTGGCCTATGATAACAAACTCCTTTTATCCCCCTCCTACTACTGTTTGTCAAGTCTAGAAACTCATTCACATTCATACCTTGTGAAGAAGTTGCCTTAAGGTTAAATTTCTAATCTACCTGTAAGTCAAAAGCAGGCATCAAATAATGGCAGATATTTGCTCTTCTGTTGGATCTTGGAGCTTACTGATGCAAATTGGCATCGATCAGCACAGTCCCATGAACTAGCAGAGCACTTTGCCTGCAGAAGATAACTGCAAAGTTATTCAAGAGCTTTCTCAGAATCATGCAGCAGTCTCTGCCCATCTCCTAATATATGGTGGAGGACGCCTCTCTGATATGGAAGCGTCTAGGGGATCAATAGTCTCTCATCCAGTGAGCAAGTAGAGAACTGTATGAGACTCGTCTTCTATGCTCTTTCTGTTCCTGGAAAAGGTTTTGGAAATCAAAGGCCACTGCTCACCCTCAAAATCTTCCTACAAGCAAGTAAAAATGCAAAGCTCCAGTAAACCACTAAGATCTCCAGCACACAGGGCCATTATAAGGAAAAGCCAAAACAAACAAACAAACACCCTCAAAGATGGCCACACAGGAATTCTTTCTGACCCAAAATCTGGAAAGCAAGTATCAAGAAAGCAAGACAGGACCTTATTCTATGCTACTGTCAAAAGAGCAAAATTAAGTGACTTGAAAAAATACATTGGCTTTTCCAGGATTAAAGTAAAACAAAGTGATACGCTATTAATTTTTCTGAAACTTTTGCAGTACTCAAAATTCCTCCATACCAAACTACCTAGAGAAGGCTTAGGAAGAAGTCACTGCGATTGCCCACAAAATCTCCCTCCCTCTGCACAGAATGAATTAACTTCCTGTGGTATGAAGGACTTTGGCCTTCCTTTTACGTATTTCTGTACACCATTTCTGTAAGGAATTTCTCTTCCTTGCCAAAGAATGAATGTCTTCAGCTGTTATCACTTTATTTTAGTCTCCTACCAGAGATAGGACACGAGATAAAAAAAAAGTATACGTGTGTATAAATTCTGCCCCAGAAAGTAAAGCAAGGATTAAAAAAAAAAAACCCTTAAAAGATCAAAATATCACAAATACTAAGGAATAAACACAGAATTATATGCTAGTATCTAGCTTAAATCCTAGACTTGTATAGACACGCAGTGCTGCACATTAAGGCAAAGGTAGGGAGAAGGATCTGAATAGTCAAGAACACTTGAATGGATTTTGCCAAGTTAAGAAAAAAGTCTTATCAGGTTCCTATGATCACCCAAGGAAAGGTACCCTGATGTCTATATTTTTAAAAATCTAAGACTAATTTATTTTCCAGCCTATATGATTTGAGAAATGCTCGTGTATTTGTAAAAAGTTCATACCCACACAACACATTGTTAACAGAGTTGTATTGTGACACAAAAAAATCCCCATAGTATTTTACCAAACCAGCCTCAGCCGATTCTGAAGTCAGTCAGGTGTTTTTTTGACATATGTGACGAGAGCTTATCCCAATAATAAAAACACGTTACTAACATTTCAAATGTGGACTTTTATTATTCAAACTGTTTTAATTTCAGAATATTATGTTCACCCATACATGAAGGAATGCCACATAGCAAAGAAACTACAGATACTAACACACACAGAAGGACAGTCGGCTACAGAGTCAAATAGGCATGAGAAAGACAAACAATGTACAGTCATAGGTACCCCCTGCCTTCCTCCCTCGCCCCCCCCAAAAAAAGGTTATTTTTAGAGAGGATGGGCTCACATGATGATTGTTCTGTATATGTTTCCCGCCTTTGCTTAATTAAGGATATTGCTGTACAGTAAGTAAAAGTGTTAGAAAGCACAAAAGCAGATGCTTGTGAAGAAACTGAGATTTGATAAGATTAGGTTGTTAAAGAAAAAGTGAGATTTTTGTAAAAGTAAAATTACAAAGGATAACAAGAAGAAAGTAGAACTACTCTCTGCTTGTCAGAAAGCTTTTGTAGCTGTCAAAATTCTGGAGAGTAACTGAAGAATAGAAACTTAGAAATTTAATTATAGCTATCATTACCATAATATGTCTGAAACAAAATGCTCATACTGGAACCAAAGATCTACACATTGTATTAAGGACAACAAAATTTTATACACATTCTGAAAAAAACAGTCTAGAATTAAAGACAATTCAGTTTGTGAGAAATTAACGTTAAATAAAAACAATGCAGTCTGTGTTCAGAGGTTCTCATCTAAGTTCTATTGTGCATCCTAGGGAGCTGTTTCACTTATAGAAAAATTTTTTAGAGACTGATAAAAAAAAGTTGCTAATAAATATTTTGTATAATTATAAGCACCACTTGAACACACTGCAGAATTGTTTTAACTATTGTGTTTGAATCAATGATATTTATCACTGAACTCTAGCCAAAACCTCAAATACGCCAACATTTTAATTAAGAAACGCCATAATGCCATCATAAATTAAACAGTCCAAGACAATATATGCTGTCAAAAAAAAAAAAGGTATATACAGAGTACACAAGCAGATATGACTTCCGTTTCTGACATGACATTGAGCAGGAACCAGAAATCCATATTGAAGACATCTGGTTACACTTATCTGGTTGCATTTTCTTCCATGTATGGATCTCCCTGTACACTAATTTTACTGCTACTTTCCTAAGAAAGGAAATTAGATAGAATCTCTCCTACTAACTTTAGAACAAAACCTTTTCATGTATCCAACATTAATCACCTCTAAAACTGAGTAACTATATTACCAGAATTAATATGGTGTCCTACCTCCAGCTCTCTCCAGTCTATACACTAAGGATGCACATTAAAAACTTCCATCTGGGGCTATGAGTAGTTAAAGACAGAGCTGTTTTCAAAGTGCCTAATCTTTCATTCTTTAAACACATACAGGACTGCTCTATAATCTTTTCTCAAAAAACGTTTACTCGTGTGAGAAGGGTCTCTGGGCCATTTAGGTAACATAGATAACAGCATCCAGGCAGGACACTGGGAGCCGTTTACATTTGGTCTTGCTGATAAACTTTTTTAAGGTTTTGTATAGGACGTGCACTGTCATTCTAAATGTACACTATATATGTACTACCAACTATACAAACTACTCTCTGAAAAGGAAAGTGTAAACCTTTTCCCCCATTTATCAGTTTTTTTTAAGCCTGTACAATTACTAGGTAATTACTATTTAGTAGAAGTATTTCAGAATGACAGTAATCTCGGTGTTTTGCTGTCACTTGCAGTCCCATCTCTAAGTGCACTCAGGATGATTATTTTAAAAGGCTGATGGAACTCTTGCCTTGCTGAATATTCCTAGAAGTGCATGGTTATGAAGAAAAATTTGTCTTTAATTGTTCCACAATTGTCTTGTACAAGACTACAAACATCTGTGACAAGTACACTGCGAGCAGAAGGTATAAACAAAGCCTTTTAAAAAATTTGCAAATGTATTGTTTAATCCTTTAATATATTTATGTAATTCAAATGAAATTCAGAAACATTTCTTTAAACTTTTTAAAGAAAAAGAAAAGGAAGTGCCCATCCTTTAAGAGACCCCATACCAGAATTTCACAAATGGTAACTATATATTTTCAGCCTTCTTTTTGTAGCTGTCTAGAATACTGGTCAAGGATGACAATAGATCTTCAGACATGAATTCTTCATAATCTTTGTCAATTTTCTTATTCTGTTCATCAATATATTTCTAGAAGAGAATTATAAAAGTTGATTAGAATGATGGTGCCTCTATAGTACTGTGACTACTAAAGCATTTTAAGCTATCACTGTATGGGGTAAGTGCTAATAGTTAAATACTTCTGTGCTTTTCAGAGAAGAGGGGCTGGACTTGAGTCATGACATTTAACGATTACTGCTGATTATCTGTACCAAATGTTTTGATTCAAGGAGCTCCAGGCACTCATTAAGAAGCAGGAAATACAGAAGGGTTTTGTCAACAATTTATTTACTAGAATCCATGGACTTGATGTAGCATCCATTAATCATTGATACTTGACTCAAAAGAATAAGTTCTAAAATCCATACATTTAATTGCAGTTGTAGATAACTGTAGAAAGATTTCACTCTGGATATGAAATATTAGCTTACCTCTACAGATGCTACATGAGTAGTGATCACGTCCAAAAGATGACTCAAGTTATCACATGCCTTCCTGCTCTCCTCTGTTTTTGTTTGCATAACAACTTGGTATCTAGAAAATACAGACCCTCCGAAAGTCACACTGTAAAATTCCTGACAGCTGAAAAAATCTCTTTACCAAGTTGTACACATTGTCAGATTATTCATAAGTTAGCTACATATGATTTGTTTATTAATACCTGACTTAGAAGAACAAGGACCATAGTGTGCTAATTAATACGAGAAAAAAGTACCTTACAGCAGTGTATTTAGAATTAAATCATATCTGCAGATTATGAACATGTATGATGTGGTTGTCAAAATGGTGATTATTTGGAACTGAATTAATAAACTTACCGCAACCGTATATATTATAAAGGTACATGGAAAACAGGAGTACTTAGATAGAAGAGACTTCTTAAATTCCCTAGCAAAATGTTAAGCGCCTAGGAGAAACATTGTTCAACTGTAAATTTGCAAAATTAGTACACTGAGATGAATACCTGCTCACTGACTTATTTTAGATAGTCATTTATAAGATGCTAGTTGTGTTAGGACTTAGCAAAATATCTATATTGTTAAACAACAACAAAGCAAACAAACAAACAAAACAAACAAACAACCCCCAAACAATATAATGGGCCTTACTGTCGCTGAATATCGTGCAATTCACTTGTGGCTTCACTGAGACCTTCATTGATGCCGCTCTGAAGAAAGTGTTTGTGATTCTCTAACAATTCCAGCTCACTTGCACATTTTTGCTCCTGCTCTTCTGCCTCCTGCAAGTGATAGCGAAAAATGGCATAAATTATGAAATACTATGAAAATTTATTTCTGAATAATACTAATCCTGATATTTGAATTAGCAGTTCACCGCAGAAGTAACTTTACACTCATTGCTCCAAATTAAAATTTCTGGATTGTCCTATCGTGAAAACCAATGCAGTCTCCCCTTATTCCTCCATCCTTATTTCAAGGTTTGTGTTGTAGTGCTATCTTTCCTTCAAACTCATGTGGGCAAAAAAAAGTGCTGACTCTCTGAATAGCTTAAAAATGGAACATCCCACACTGTTTTTTAAGCCACTTTGAATGAAAGCCTTTCCCCTTTGGCTCTGAAAGGTGCATGTGAATTATTACTAGTCATTTCCATAGGAAGAATGACACTGCTGACAGTATGCACAATGCTCTGAAATGCAAAGACAACCTAAAAAAAATCTGCCATCACTAAATATTCAGTTTTGCTAAAATATAGCACTACATTTAGCATTTGTGAAATAAAATGTTTCATTAATTCAGCTTATGAATGGCACAGATAGATATGAATTACACAACTATGTCTCATTATAACCTGTGCACTAATTAGGAAGTATTTAATGAACTTTCCTTAAAAACAAAACATGCATAGCAAAGATTAAAAGATGAGTTTCGTAGGTTTTGGAAGCAATAAACTAAATCAATACCTTCAGTCACCTAGGCAGGATGTTAGCAATGATATAGCCTCCTGCTTTATGGTTATATCACAGCAGTTTGGATTTGAAAGAGCAAATATATTAAACAGTTCAAAATAGCTCAAAAAGCCTTTTTTCTCTTGAGTACTATGCAACCACCAAAGCCTCAAAGGACATGCTGTTGAAGAACTCAAAAGATATTGAAGCAGCCTACTACTTGTTAACTATTTCTGTTGTTAAACCAAAAGTAAACGTGAGAAAAAAAGAGAGGGACTGCCCCCCTTTGGTGGGGAGAGAGAATAACACTAAAATATTGAAAACGTGCTTTTAGGCAAATAACATTTCCTCCATCTTTAATTTGGTAACACATTTAATAAAAAGTGTACTAATAATTATTTTATACTAAACTGAGCAAACAAGGCATAAATCTGCTTTAAGCACATGCTTTGAGATATCCTGAGTTCAACAGGTGGACATGGATGCTTCTACGACTGGATGAAGTAATTTAAGGATTTGCCAAAGGATTTGCCAAAGTAATAAACCAGATTATTGTATGAGAAAATGGAATCTGACTCTCAAGATAGGAAATATTTCTCAATACAATGTGTGCATTGCACATTTGTGAACATGCATTGCCTCATTTGCACGTAACAAAAGGAAAAAAAAGAATAAACTAAACAGCCTTGCAAACAAGAGTTTTTTGAGATTTTCCTTTTTATCTGAAAAGATATCTAAGACAAGATGGGTGGAAGGGAGGGCAAATGCTCACCCCTGATCATCTAGTATATCAAAACAAGATTTACCAGGAGCCTGGTAAATCCAGGAAAAAACAGGGAAAAAAAAAGCACAACTTTTCATTAAGCATAAATTCTGGTCATCAACCTATAAAAATGTTCTACCTTAAGCTTCTGTTGGTAAAGATCATCCAACTTTTCAGCTTCTTCTTTCAGCTTTTTCACAGTGTTTTTCCTTTCCTCTACCATTGTGTTCACCTAGAAATAAAAATGTAATTAAGTATTAAAAGAGAAATACAACATACAACTTTACAGATAACAGCTGCAATAGTCAAAAAGCACTCATTTACTCGGGAAGTGTATATTTAAACAATTTCTGTTTGGTACAAATATCAAATTACATTTAACAATTCTTTATATCTGTACAGTTTAAACTTTTTGCCCCATAATCTGGGGAAATTGAAGATTTGTGGAAGTTTAAGCTTTGAATATAGAGCTCTAAGTTTTCAATGTCCATAGCTTATGGTTTAGAAAAATATACTAATGTTTTCAACATTTCAGTGTCAAGCTTTGGTTTCAATCAAATCATACCGACTTTCCAAAAAGCTTTCCAGAGGCTTTTATGCCTTTGGAAAGAGTAGCCTGTAACCCGCAATGACAACAGCTTTTTGGAGTTCTCCATAAGGAATCTGGCATAAAGTTTAGCTCATTAAGTGTTTCCCAGGGACAGCAATTTTAAAACTGGTCCCTTAATTTCTTCAGTGTGTATTGCAACATGTTACATGACCAGCAATTTTCCTTTTTCAACCCTTTTTGACAGCGTTGCTAGAAATCTTTTCAATGACAATTAGTAAGTGATGGCAAATTAGGAAACCAGATTGGAATAGACAGCTTATTAAAATATTAAACCCAAATCTTTCCGGTACTTATGGTCTTAAATTATATGTAACTGCATAATCCTCATTTTCACTATTCTTTCAGCTAATACAGACCCTAAAATTCTCACAAAGGCATTTAGGCTCCATCATAATTAAAGCAGTCATCTTACCACTTCCCTCCAGAAACACTTCATCTGACCAAAAGATCAGCTGGGACTAACAGGTGCCATTATTACGTCTCAGATCCTAATCTTCATTGACCAAAACAAACCTGTTCTAACGTATCTTCCAAACTCATTTTCTGGTGAGTTGCTTTTCTAATTTCTTCCTCAGTCTGGTTTATGATCTCCATAAGGGGAGCCTGTAATATGTATACAAGAAAAATGGCATTAGCCAAATTGTTAGTGTAAATTAAGAGGGATGCCAGCAGATGTTTTCTTTCTCCAGTTTTTATTTGCGCTGCTTTACCTTCTGATGACAAATTTCCTTCCACTAGCACAATGCAGTTATGTAAGTTCACCACAGAGGCTTTTCACTGAAGCTTCATGGAAGATTTAAGAGTGGCACTCTCAACACTTCCAAGGAAAAGTTTGAAATATATTCTTACGCGAGTGTTGCAAGAGACATTTGGCGCACTTGATGCTACTTACCTTAATCTGAGTTCTGTATTTGACTAGGGAACTTGGTCCTGCCTCAGGATTAAACTGAATCTCAAAGTCATGGCCTTTGGAATTCTCAGCACTTATTGGAATTAACTTCAGCTTTCTAGCCAGTTTATGATACTCTGCCAGTTGTATTTCGATCTATTCAGAGGAGAAAAAATAGAAAAATACAAACGAAAATCTTTGCAAAGATTATAATATTTGGAACAGGTGTTTGAATTGCTCTTTAGGAAACATATTTCCAGGACACGTCACAGTATGCAAGAGCTTAAGTATTGACAGTTCAGCATTTTGCATTTTTGGTGTAAATATAGACTTAAGTTTCTTTCAGTGTTTGCTCTCATTCTGTAAAATTAATAAATTTGTCCCTTTTAAAGGTTTCCAACAGAAATTCCATACAAGGGACTCATTAGGCTCTAAATACATGTAGAGGTACTGATTCAAAGCATCAGTTTTGAATTACTTCCTTGATATAAGATATTAACACAAGCAATTTCAAGCTAATATTAGCAAAGTAGTTGCTACCTTAACAGTGAGAGTTGACAGTAAATCATATTCTTGATATGTCCCTAAATGTGCAGAAAACCATACATAGAGTATAAGAATACATTTCTATTATGCTCAGTACTGAAAAGAGAAAAAGAAAACTTTTCAGAGAACATAAGCAGAAATCAGTTTTAGCATTTTTAGATCATTATGAGACATCCATGCTATTGTTGTATTATTTAGGAAAGAAGTTAGCAATAGCCCAAGTATCAGGTTTTTGTATGATGAAAACTGAGAGCTGCCTCTCAGAGTAGCAGGATTTTCACATACCGCCTCTTTATGCCTAGCATATTTTATCTCCTCATTCCACAGTTGATGCTGTTCCGTTTCCACTTCCTTAGCCAGTTTCTTCATGGTTTGCTGAAGCTCATTTTTCTCATGATTTATTCTCTCTATGTCCGCAACTGAGTACTTCTGGTTATCAAAGATGTACTGGAGCCGAGCGTTTTCCTGCTTCATTGCTTCTACCTCCATTTCTAAATTCACAAAAGGATTCACAAAACTGATGTAAAACACCAGCCTATGTAGTTTAACCCAACCTAATCTCTAATGTCTCTAATGTACAAATGGCTATAAGACAAAAAAACTCTCTAGGAGAAATTAATTTAGCAAAATTAATTACTACACTTGCAATACACAAAGCGTCTCTCTTTTGTGAAGCTGATAATTATAAAATATTTGTAAAGCTAGCTTCACCCATGAGCAGGATCTTTCTTACCTGCTGTCTCAACTTCTTCATTAACGCTTTTAATTTTCTGATCAAGGATCGCTGTATGAGACTCTAGATTTTCCATATAAGCCTGGTATTTCTGGACATCTGCTTGAAGGGAAGATTTCAGCTTTCGCAGTGATACTAAACGATCCTAGTCAATGAATGGAAAGAACAACCACAGCTGATTATTTACACTAATTATTTTATTTTCAAACCAGGACAATAGAATAATTATAGCCAGCCCTAAGAGCATGAATAAAAATCTGATCAAGGTTCTTCACTGTCTACATCTGCGGCATTTGACTCAAGTATAAGTCTTTAAAATAATGATAAAAAAGAGGCTGAAAAATTATTTGATTTTTTTTTTTTGCATTTTAGTGTTTGACATTTTTGATTAGCATTAGGTATTGCATAAATTAAGTTCTTAAAGAAAATAATTCAAAAGTATTACAGTAATACAAAAAGGGTAGATGAAACCAAGGACAAGGGAAGTTAGGAATAAAGAACACATTTGGCATGCAAGCTGGAGTCTCAATTTGCCAGCTGTGCAGCCATTAACCCATTTTGAATTTAATCATGTTTTAGGAAAAGAAACTGTAAACACAAATACTTTCCTCAAGTACAAACACAATACTTTCCCCAAAATATACTTTGATTGATCATTACCAGTGTTTTCCATAGTTCCATCCCTTAAAAGTTTTCCTACAAATGTTGGCAAGGGATATTGTTGAAGTTCAAATGAACAATGGTTCAACTATTGGTTCATTAGTATTTCAGTCAATGCAAGATCCTCATAATTTGAAAATATCCGCTCGACCATCAAACAAATGGTCTCTGAAGACTCCATAACGCGTTCTACTACAGTGGTACAGCTTGTAACAGCCAGGGCTCATTACAATCTTCTAGAACACTGAAAACAATTTTTCCATTTTTCATAATTTATTATCAGTATTTTGATATAGAATATCGACAGAGCACCTTCAGTATCCATAACTGAAAATTAAGGAAGGTCCCCATCCCTCCACTGCCAGTAGGCAAGCACAGACACTGTTTACTCACCGGCTCACTCTCCCTTTCTTTCTCTAGTCTTGCAATCTCTTCATGAAGCCTTTTGTTTTCTGCAGGTAAACCTTCTAGCTGAAATTCATCTATGTTGAATACATCCTCTGGAGAGGGAAAAACAAGTAATATAATCTCACTGAATGTCATCTAAACTGAATATCTATGTAATTGCTGTAGTTTCAGCACAAGGAATACTCATTATCTGAACGTTTTAACTGAAAACTAAATTTTACATTAGAAGCTTTCATTACAAAGCAAACAGACGAATACCTAAAACAGTTTCTCAGTCATGGGAATCATACAAAAGCCTAAATCACTGCTGTGAGGTTGGTTTCAAACTCTCATTTAGCCAACGCTGTAGCAATAGCAGTTATTACAATTACAAGAGTTTCCATCTGTTCTAGCTTTTCAAGGGTAGTCTCAGTAGGAATCTGTATATTCCTTTCTCACCCATGTACTACCCTGCATCTTGAGCCATGTTCTCTCAGCTCCCTCAGTTTTTGCCCAACAACTGTATTCCTTTTTCCTACTAATATCTTTCTGTCTGGGAATTTATGCCTCCTCTCCAACTTCCCTCTGGCAATAAAAGGGTCCTCAGTCTGCTTTGTGTAAAGGACCCAGAAGGGGAGAATTATTTTCCCTCCTTGTTCCCACACTATCTGTTGCACTTCTGTAAACAAGGAAACAAACGAGTCAAAGACATTCAGCTCTTTGAAGGCAAGCACAAGGTTTGAGTCATGCTTGGGAATTCTCTCTCACAATAGGGTATGGAGCGCTCACAGGCTGTTCTCGGAGCTTTTTGAAGGACCTGACCTTTCTTTCTCAACATATCTGCAGCCTTTAGTAAGATTTTTTTTTTTCCTTTCAGTAATAAGAATGATCTGCACAGCTGGCATTTGCAAGCCATGACCTGCATGCTGCTTTCTGTCATTACAAAGTCATTGAAAACAACTGGCTTACACAGGTACAGTTGACAGCAGAGCATGACCTGCCTGTCTGTACGGATACCAAAGCATAAAACAGAGAACTAAGTGTAACTGAGGAAACTGGCAATTTCAGCCTTCCTCATATTAGATCAGTCTTATTTGTCAACTGAGCAAATTTCATGCTAGGAGAAAAGAAACAAATAACACAATCAGATGCTTCATTAAGACATGAAAACTTACTTAATTTTGACTGCACTTCTGCATCAAATTCTTCAAAAATATCGTTCCCTTTCATGAAGTGCTCATAGCACTTCACAATGTAGTCCATGAAAAGCTGGAAATGATTTAAAAAGCTTTCATGAAGATTCAAAGAACTGTAAAAGGATTAGTCAAATCTGCACAATCAATGAATTATACAGAGGCAAAAAATATCTTTTACAAGTTTGTGCTACTTTCTGTAAAGTCTACTTGTGGGCAGACTTCTGGGCATCTTTTCTGTTTTTTTTTTTATTATTTTAATAGAGTGTCAGTAGATGATATTCAGATAAAAGAATGTATTTACCATTATTAAAAAGGGGTTAGAAAAACTTTTTTTTGATATCCAGGATAGCAGAGACAATATTAAGTTTATCACTTTAGACTGTATGATCCTCTGAGTTTATAGCAGCCGTAGCTCCATTTAACAGAGCTCTTCAGTAAATATGAATGCTATACTTCAAACGCACAGATATCAGAGAATTAATATTAGAATTAAAAGCAGGTTACCCAAAGGGCCAAAATTCAAAATTCCACTTTAATTAGATTTTTTGCAATTCACTACAACCTGAACACTGAATGTTAAATCTGGAAGGAAGCAAGCTGCTGTATTTTTAAGTATTTGATTTAAATTCAATACATCCACCATTTTAACATGCCGAACTAGGAAGATGTCAACCGAACCATTTACATTTATGTAACAGTTACATTTGTTTTACCATGTTTAAATGGTTTAGTTTTGCATATAGCAAAATTCAACTAAACACAATATGACCATCATTTACTTTTTATGGTACCTTATTATGTACGATTCCATCTTCTGTCTCTCCTCCCCAGTTCTGTCCATCATCAAACGATGGTGCATTCTCTTTTATGGCAGAATACAGCTAAAAGGCACAGACATACATGCAAAGAGCAAATGTGAGGACCTTGATTAGTTTTCCTATTAGTGACATGTTTGCGATGAGCAGAGTAACATTGAATTGGGATTTCAGCAAGTAAGATGTAATGGTGATGCTTCAGAGCATATCAGGGTAGGGCTATTGCCTTATATTGGCTACAAGCCCAAATGGCATTAGATGGACAGTCAGCACTGCTGGATTACCTTGGAAAGTCACATGTATTTTTTCAGCAAAGATCATGAAATTTTCAAGTGTGCGCAGTTCAGCAGTGGTGAACTTCTGAGCCAAATATGGCTCAGACATGAGCTGGCAACAACTGAGTTACCAAGAAAACAACCACAAACAAACAAACAACTAAACAAGAACAACAACAAAACATTCTATACAATCACAGGTTACTTGAATAGCTGCTATAGAAAAATCCACCCTTCAGCTTTAAATTTAGAAGATGGCAGATGTCTCAAGAAGTTGCTTCACTAAAAATACATCTTTAATTATGTCCTAAAGATGTTTCATCTGTGAACTTTATAAAGCATCATGTATGTATATGCAATAGATTATTTTTACTTTCTCATACACAAATTCATCCAGTGAATGTAGTTTTAGAAAGTTCATAATATAACATTAAAACCTTCAATTTACATATTAACAAACATTATACATTACTTTAAAGTGTACTAAGGTAGTCCAAAGGCTAGTTTCATAATGGCAATAAAGAATACCTACTTTTATCTTCCCATAAGTAAATAAAGTCATTTTTGGAAAGCTATTAAAAGATATTGAAAACAGCATTCCAGCCTGAAAAGTGGAATTATTTGACTTAAAGGAGTCAGACGATACCTTGACACAATCAGTTAACCAAACCAAAGCTGCGACAATCTGAGGCCATGTGTGTGGTGCTCCCACTGTATACATGGAGCTTTTTGACAAAGGAAAAGTGTATCTACAAGGGAAAAGAAAACACATTTTAAACAGCTGTGGGAAAAAAAAATGAATAAAGCTAAAAAAACCCACAATTTTGCGTGTAGGTTTTGAAGCACACAAAGCAGAACAAACTTCATTGCACTTTCTACTATACATGAAGAAGTGATAAGCTGAGTACTTATGGCACAGTTCCATTGTGATGGGTTTCTCATTTTGGAAACAAATTTATATTTGCAGCCTATGTGAAGATTAGGAAAAATTATGTCTTCATACAAAGTATACAATATTTCTTTGTAAACTCCTTTGCCCAAATACACATTCCCCTTCCTAATTAGGTTATTATATTGCTTTTTCTCTCTTGATACCAACTACCTTCAGATCAGGTCCCTTTTTCACATTCTGAAGCTCCAGTGGGAAGAGAGGTGGGCACAGCAGGACCAGGGAAAAGGAGTGGGAGCCTTATGAACATGTGATAAATGATGAGACAGAGACCCGAAGGGCAAACACACACGAAGTAGGAAAAAATAGTACAGTGGGTGCCTAGCCTCCACTCAAACTGGATGCACAAGCCTGAAGGATTTCCTAACATACAAGAAGAGAAAGAGATACAGAAACCCTGTTCTTACAGAAAGAGATTCTTGCTCCTTGGGGTCAAAAATGTGCTTTGAAAACAAAGAAAACTTCTGCTGATTAGCTTAGCATTATACAGTAACAGAAAAGGTACCATTTCAGAACAGTTGCGTATCAAACTGTTAATTTTACTTATAAATACGGAACACAGATACTATTCTGCTCATTACAGATGTTCTCTCTAAGCCTTCTGATATGCAAGGAACAGAAAAGCACAACTTTAGACACACAGCTGTACAAAGTTATTTTAGAAACATAGGACAAAAAGCTATAACAAACCGAGAAATCCAAAATAAGTGCTCGTGAACTTTGCTGAGGATATCTTAAAATGAATTATTTATGTCTATTTTCTAATTCCCAAAAGATATCTTAAAGTAAGTTCTTAAAATAAGTCATTTTATCAAGGATTACAGAGAGCAGGATAAGGCTCCTTCACAGCAACTTTCTTTTCAATGATTCTGCTAGATCAGCAGTTTGAAATATTATAGACTAAAACATCTTCCTAAAATACAGAGAAGTGAACAGACATACACAGCTAAAGAGACCTGACACTATAAAACACAAACTAAGTACTAAGTACTATCACAGAAATCTTTAAAATTGTAAGCTCGAAGAAATCTAGAGAAGCAAAATATTAGCATAAAATAGCATAATAAAGGGACAATGATCTTACCCAAGCTCTTTAAAAACTCTGGGAATTTCCTCTTCAAATTTTGAATCAGGCAGTTCATAAGAAGGGCAAAGAAATCCATAGATAAAAGTGAAGATTTTTAAGAAATCCTTAACAGATGGAGACTGTAGCGACTTCATGGAGACATTATGGGCATAACCATTCTCAACAAGAAACTGAGAAAAAAAAGAAATATTAAGTAGTAGAGCAGTCAATAGATAAAATCTAAAATTGAAGCCATGAAAAATAAGTATTTTGATTAGTATTATTTTTTTACTTAAATCAATGTTTAAAAGAATAATTTAAATTAACAATAATAAAAATAGATTAAATAATAGTTTAAAATAAATGTTTAAAATGAATAGGTTACCTCACAAAGCTGTTTGATGCATTGTTGAATGTATGTCTTGTCATGAAGTGGCCTGGGATCCTTGATCTTCTCTGTACCAAACACACCATACTGACTGTTGCGTGAACCTCCAACGCTGCTTGTTCTAACAACCAAAGAAACATGCGGTTATTGTAACAATAATTATTGTAACAATAGTATAGCCAAAACTCCAAATATTTTTAAGTTGTTACATTTGTTATCTTTAGGTTTTGTAGATAGCCAAAAGTTTCTCTTTAATTAGAATGACAGAAGAAAAACACCAATTCAGAACAGTTGAGGCCCCTGACAACAGTGAGCTTGCTATACCCTAGGCGAACATTTTCTCCAGTTTATACAGAGAAATAGTTTTATAAGAGTGGAAAAATTCTTCACCCTTAGGTGAAGAAACAAGATGTTTCAGTAGGTTCATCAAAGCTTAAGATACTTAAGGATTAATCTTTCTGCAAAAAGATACCTGTGTTTTTCTAAGTGAAGAAGGAAAATATAAACCTAGAAAGCCAGACTGTCAGGAAAGCTTTATCAAAAATCTGGATATAAAAACATGTCTCAAGTTTTATTGATGAGGAACCTTCTTCCTGAAATAAATGTCTTGAGCCGCCCTGCAAGTTATGTAGTGCATGTCAATTCCAAGAGCAGGAATATCCCTCAAAGCTATTCCTGCTCTGTGTTATTGTTTGGTGATCAACAAGCAGAGGAGGAAACATCTGACAACCTTTTGTCCTCATATCCATTTTTCCCTGCAAAGGACAACAACTACAAAGTGTTGTGGAACTTCTATTTTTAAATTTACAGTGCAGAAATATAGAGGCATTAATACCTTTTGCCAAAAAAGCTGACTTTTCTTTCAGAAGTTCCGGATGTAGGTTTGCTCATGCTCAGCTTCCCAAATGTTCCTCTGTCCTTCCTGGGGGAGAGGGGGAAGAATACAAGTGACTACTGCTTCTACCATTCCATCTTTTGCTCATGTAAGAAAACTGTAACATAGACATTTAAATGTAAGCATCTTCGGCACAGCAGCTTCTTGATGATGTCAACTGGTTTTAATACATTATTGTACATTACCAAAAGCATTTCTAGAAGAAGTTTTATATGCATACCTTCTTATAAATAGACATACATTCAGATATTCTCCAACAAATATGTAAAAAAAAAATTGTCATGGTCATATCAGCAGATTAAAGTCTTACATTTCAAAGTACTTACGTACTAACCATATTGTACATGCACATAGATGACATCCGTTCTGACATTTAAAGCTTATAATATCAAGGAAAGATTTACCAGACCTACCGAACTTTATACTCTTTATATTTCCAGAAGTAAATGCACACTTTTGATGTTAAGTGAGGAAGTTTTTGTAGAACTGGAGCACATATACAAATTGCTGCAGGAAGTTTTCTTTCTGCTGCTCCCATCTTTTTCAGTTGCTATAATCCTGCTCATAAACATATCACAGGAAATCCCTTCAGAGTTAACTTTATGGACCCCTCCTATCAACATGATCAGTAGCACTTACATCTGAGGTGTTTGGAGACCCATCTTGTTGGTGTCTTGTACTCTCAGTGCCATCACAGAGAGCCGACTGCTACTCCCGCTAGTACTCGAGCTTCGTCTCATTGTGGCTAAAGCACAAAGCGCTGTCTCTCAGTGTGGGAGAATCTAGGATTTAAGAATATTTGCCTTTCATAACATCACAGTGACTTTCTGAGGAGTCAGGCTAAGCAAGCTGTATGTTAGACCAGCAGCTGTGTGACAGGCCAAGAATTTCCAGAAACATTGCATGTTCTTTAAAGGGTGTTTTCCCTTTATTTTTTCCCCCCTAAATCAAAACAAAAAGCTTCCAGCTGCAAACCAGCATGCTACCTGAATTTTCAGATATACTCTGATAAGCAGATGAACGGTGCATATCTGATTTGGAGACTTCAGCAGTACAGCCATTTAAATTAAGCATTTCACAGATGAAAGGTAGTGCTTTCTCCAAACCAACTGTTTTATTTTGACTTGTATTTTGGGGTATTTCTCCTTACAGCTACTAAAAGCAAATTGGCTGATTGAATACTTTTTTTTTTTCCTATTTTGATTAACCGTAAAGAAGACCACGTTAACATGGCTATTGCTTCTAGCACTTCGTCCATCACTCAGTTCCTTAGCCACTATCTCTGAACCTGCTCATCAATTTTGTGAACGATTTCAGAGTATCATAGAGACCTGGGAAGCCTGTTCTGAATTAACATTATGGATACCTTTCCACTACAGAGAAAAAATAATTGCAACCAAACCATGCAACCAAACCAAAAGCATTGAACTTTTCTCTGCACTGGCATTAGGTGGAATTTTCAGGTAAATTGAACTCACTCACTCGACAAAAAATAGCACCTGCTCTGCAGAGAACGCACACTGTTTGTGGCGTGGGCTTTAATGACTGAACTAATAGCAAAATTATCATGTTGAGCATTACCAAAATATACCATCAACAAAAAATGTGTTTCACAATCATACTTCCAAGTTTAAATTACGGCAAATGTGACAGAAACTTGACCTGTTAAGCCCCCTTAAAAAGTGGGCTTTTTTTTTTAAATGACGTTTCAGCTGTGACCTAATTTTCATGGCGGGGTTGGGGCAGAGCTGGGGAAAGCTACGTTCTCCCATAACTTTATTCACTACACACAAGGTGTTTATACAAGCAGCGAATCGCTAGCTCACAACTACAGCTTGCTTGAGCCAACGCACACGAGCAAACCTAGGAGCAAAGCGTTACTGGGCACAGCTGCATTCAGTTGCCTTTACAGGGAATTATATTGCTTCACAGGGAAAACAGGGATATTTACGCGACTGAATAGAGGCGGTGCCAAGCGCAGCGCCCCCGACAGCCGAACGCGGGCGGGGATCAGCCTTTCCCAGGCCCCGGCACGCAGGGCCGGCGGCCACCGCTAAC